AGAATTAAAGATAATTAGATGCTAAAATATAACATATAAATATAATATATTAAGTTTTATCGATAGATATGGCGCAATCGATAAGTGTTAAATACCATCGTGGTAGAATACAACACTAAGCCGCCATGTATAGCTGCGTAGGTATGCACGTTTTTTTCGTAGGTATGGCAGTTCCATAGGTTTCCTTATTCAGAGGTCGAGTGGGGTATCACTGTCTAGATAATCATGTTGAGGTTCCTAACACCATTTTTCATTTTATATGATTGTTTAGGATCTACAACGCTTTAAAGTTGTATATTAATCACTTGCGCAATTTCAATCTTACGTTTGTATGGATCTGTGTTACTCTTTCACCTAAAAAAATGTGTGCGTGTACTAGTGTACACACGTAAGAAGTAAAACTTCTTTATGGCCTTATTTTTTTCGAAAAATGATCTACATGCAACTTTCCAGAAATATATATATAGGCGTGCGCTAAGATTTTTCAAAAACTCACCCACTAAAGGGGTATAACTACACCTTACCTTACCTTACCTTACCTTACCTTACCTTACCTTACCTTACCTTACCTTACCTTACCTTACCTTGTGTGAAACACGAATATTTGCTGTCGATACTTTTTTTTTTAAAGTTGACAGAAGAAGCAATTGTTCGGATGAGGTAAATAGTGCTCTTTTAAAAAAAAGATGGCGCGTAACCAAAAAACGTGACGCGTAACCGAATAAAAATGTGACGGTAATTTTTTTTCCAACGCCGATAAAGAAGTTTCACTTCAAAAATACTGAATGGATTTTATGAAACTTAACAGTAATATAGCTCATATATGATAATAACATATATATAATAATTTATGTTGTTATTGAGTGAATTGGCCAAAATATAACAATAAGTGTCACATAAGACGGAAAAAATGTTCCATCTGCGAGATATTTTGGCTTTGGCCTGCACTGCTAAAACAATAAAAGCTACATGAATGTAATATAGAGTGAAAAATGTATCTCTTAAATAAATCTAAAAAATAGTCCGTGACACCATATAATCCATTTTTAAATCCATTTTTATAGTAGGCAAAACTACTATATTTTGTTTAAAGCAGATGTTTGCCAGTAAAAGCGTTTTTAGAAATAAAAAATATAATTATTAAGACATGGAAGAGCAAAAATATATTCATTCTAAAAATAAAGTAGATATTTTAACCACATACTATATTTTTGCCATCTTCTATATTATAGAGGTAACAGCTTCGAAAATACTACATGTATATTTGATAAAAAAAAATGGTTACCCTAGGCAAGCCATATGCTTGTTTTTCACCCTTTTAACCTTCGATTAAAACAAAAAGGGAAGATACGGCACTCGCGGCTCAAAAGTGATCCGTTTAAATTCCTCTAATTTTCGTAAAATTGTCACTTAATTTAGCAATATTGCATCAATTCAGTTCATTAGCAGATTCAGATTTAGGGATCATGTTGCCACATGCAAATATTATAAACCGATCTTAATCGAAGTTTATCGGTTATTAGTTTTTTTGAAAAATTTGCTAGTTAATGTAGTGAGCCGATAAGGATTTAATAAAAAATGGTTATTAAAAAATTTAGTTAACTATTACAAGTTGAAAGATTTTTATTTTACTATCCAATATTGTAATATCAAAAAGTTCCGTCTTTCATGTACGACGCATACTGGCAATAAGTTAACGTCAACTCAACCTTAAAAAAAACAAGAACTTTGTTTTGGTTTTTGTCGAGCTTAAACAAAACTTATTAACTTAATTCTAACTGGAACCGAATTAAAAACAGAAACTTGATATACATTTGTGTTCACACTTGAAACTCTCCGTTTTAGAGTTAAATACTTGAGTTGTAGACGATAAATCTCGGATTTGAGTGGCTTTATAACACATTTGAATTGTAATTTATTGCGATTTACATGGAAACTAATATCTACTTAGTTTCATGTAGGCACTATACAGTTTAAATTGTGGATTTTGTGTAGTTCATCGCATCACATCAAGTTGGTTTGCTCCAGAGTGTAGACATCACTTGTGTAGATTTTTATCATAATATTACTCATAGTAAGTGCCAACTTGTTCTTTCTTATTTAAGTGATTATATTCCTAGTAATCGTACAGTGTTTTAATCTTAATACTTTAATTGCAGAAATAGATAACCGTGCACCAAGCAGTGTCTGAGGCTCAGTTGATTATATTGATGGATTTTCTCGAGAGTAACCCCAACTTAGCTAGGGCACAGGGTTACAACAACAGTGCTCAGGGAAGAGCTGAATCACTTCGCTTGTGACAAGAGGTTGGTGTGGCGAGATTTGCTGATATAAACACTGATGCCAGTGCTACTGGAGGGGGACCTGCCTTAGCAAGTATCTTGAATGATTGGGACAGGAGGTTTTTGACTCTTCTGGGACCAGGATTTGGCGAAACAGCTCCTCATGTGATGGCGCAGCCTTTATCTGATGAGGTAATATTTTTCAGTTACATGTAGATTTTTCAATGATTAAAATTATATAAAAGTATGTAATTGCTAAATTCAAATTTATTTTTATTCACAGCAAGCTCCCACTTCTAGCAGAGCTGAGTTTGAGGTGATTTTGGTCAAGGTAGAAGGTTTTGCACAGTGAGTAAATGTTTTTTTGTCATAAATTAATAAGTTATAATGACTTTTTAGTACATCATGTTGGTTATGGTTAAAGAATAAATAATAAAAAATAAATTGATAGATAAAGTGATAGTCATATTACATTTTAGATATCAAGAAGAAGTACTTGTAGAGGAACCAAGATAAGAGAGGAAAGACCTCATGTTCCTTCACAACCTGTGCAAGAAAATTTATTGCTTAGACGAAGCAGGCAAAGAAGGCAACGCAGTAAGTTTTACCTACACACTGCTATAAAGTTATTATTTTTGCACAATTAAGTGTTTTTGATAAATAGTACCTTTACCAGATTTGTCCTCAGCGATATAAGTTAAAATTATACAATATCAATGGTTCTCAATGGTGAACAGCAATGGCTGTCATATTAAGTAGCATAATCATTTGCAGATTCAAAGATTGATCAATAAAGTTTTCAACTAGGTTTAATAAAACTTAAATAAGTTCAAACACTTATTTGGTTTCAGCTCGCCCACTGGCTCCATTGGATGAGCCACGAAGGATACTGTCCCAAATGGATGCAGCTTGCAGCTTCAGATGCTGCAAATGCTTGAGCTAATCAGCAAGCAAGTGGCCGATAATCTGCAGCCATTGTATGTAATAGGTTGGAATTTGGGACTGCTTGCTGATGTAGCAGAGCCATATATGTAACATATCCTTTCTCTTGGACCTACTCTCTAATAAATGATATGTTCCAAATATATTTTTATTATTTTGTTTATTTTTACTGCTAATATTGGTGTCTACTTTTGCATTATTCTCTAAACCTAAAATTAAATTTGACAAAAGTGTATCCCTGTTATTCTCTTTACAGAATGAAAAGGAGACTATTGTTTAATTTCATTTTAAGTTTAGAGAATCATGCCAGAATTGAGACCATTTACGTAAGAAAATTTTAATTATAATTATTTTCTCTATTTGCAACATTTAGTAGTTTTTATATTTGTAAGTCTATAAAGGTACTCTGTCATTGTATAATGTTATTTAATAAAGGAAAAAAAAATTACATTGTGAGATTTTTATTTTATTTTATTATTAGTTTAGGTGTTTATTAGGGTTTTTTTATAACTGTAGTGTCTGCAGTATGTAATAAAATAATAATGCTAATAAGTAAAATTCTCCATCTTTTATTTAATACAATTAAGAGCAAATATAATAACTATCGGTGCAACGGTAGTGAACCTATTTTTGCTCAAATCCTGAGTCTCGGTTGTTTATGAGTTTCATAATTTTATATTATACATATTTAATAAAAAATAAAAGTAGCTTATGTCAGGATCATGCTGACCAAGTCTATCTACAAGTGCATTTCGCACCGATTCTCCAGCAGCTAAATGGTAACTTCTTGGTGCTGTTGTTTCTGTAATTCTTATCTGAAACAACATTTTATTTGAATGGGTTAGATTTAGATATCCTCCTAATACCTATTGATTATTAACATATACAAAATATAATTTCTATTCTAGCTTATTCTATTCTATATTATATTAATATTAGTTAGAATTATAAAAACAGCTATGAATTAGGTAGGTAGTAATGCGCATATTCATCATACAAACATTAACACCACGGGGATTCGAACCCGGCACCTATGAGTAGGCGAGAACTTGAAAACTAGTATAGCTACATATCACTCTGAGGTCGACATCTCTTTCATGCCTATTCCATATATACATACCTCCTATCAATCTCTGGTACGATCCTGATGCATAGAAGCACTTACTACCTTAAATTAAAATAAATAAGTTATACTACATAGTTATCTTTCAACATTTTAATTGTTCATAGTACCTACTTATATAGAGTACGTTTTTCTACTTACTTTGGTGACAGTGCTTATTCCTTCACGGCGAGATGGCAAAAAAGGTTCCAACTCTTGTATGAATGAGGTCGCGACTCAAGCCTTTATTAAGGCGAAACAGTCCCATGAACTTTGATTCTGGAATTTCGAAATTCATGTCCATTTTTCAAAAAGCTGCACTTTGCCGACGATATAAAATGCTTTCGGTAACACGAGCACGCTCCAAAAAAAGTTCGTACAGCCGTAAATCCGCCATTAATGCTTATTTTCCGAACACAAACAAATATATTAATTGCAAGATGTTGCTATTGAGTAACTTTTTATGAATCTGCTAATTGACACTTCAGCAATTCCTATTTTGTGGACCATTTTACGAATCCTCATAGAAAATTGTCAAATGAATGAATTGCTGCATATGAATTGTATCCGAATCCTAATATGAATTGTCGGCTAAGTGGCCATTTTGTGATTTTCAATATGAATCACTTTATGAATCCAATGAGAATTGCTAAATGCGGCCTTTTTAGATCCCCTGTAGATGAATTACTTTTAGCAATATTGCACAATATGACCTTTTTAGGTCTCCAGGGCCCCGTGATAGATAGGTGGACACCTCAGATCACAAATACAAAGTCCCTAGTTCTTGTTAGATCACCTTGTCGGGGGTCAAAGGGCCCCCATTATCCTAATATGCCCAGAGCCTCCAATAGGTCAAAGACGGCACTGATTGTGGTGCATGACCACAATTCGCTTTATATCAAATAACAAATGCCACGGCAACACTTTTTATTCGTAAAACTGTATATAATAATTTCTTTATTTCAGACGAAAGACCCTTAATGACAAAATTGTCAAAATAATAATAATAAAAAAGTACTTTTAAATATTATAATAATATCAATACTAAAATTATCTAAAAATCAAAATAGAAATATCTGAATGTTTATTTCAGACTGTCATTTCCAAAACGATGTAATTTAGTCCAATGCTTAAAAAATACATTGTCCACGTCATCGTGGATGTTGCGGAGAATGGAGTTCCCACTTTCACGGAGCCTTTCCCAGAACTGATCTGAGAAAACAAAAAATCGGGAACATTTGCTTTAGCAAACATTTCCTTCGCACTACAATATCGCGGGTTTTTCAGCAGGATGCGAAAGACGTCATTGTATTGGACTTGCAACACATTAAAGAAACGTGTATAACTGATGATGACTTGTTTTTCTAAAGTTTCTGCTTCTATGGACAATAGTGATTAGTCTGACAGACGTTCATGCATGTCCCATCGAAGTTCTTAGGTAATTTTTTATCAGTATTAATTTTGAAAAACTTCTTTCAGCAGTTGCGATTTTACCTAACTAGAAATGAATAGCATGCTGTTATTACCTCCGGAAAACTGGATGCAAGACTATTGAATTTTATCAGCGATAATTCAACGAGTTCCTTAATGGAATGAATTTCAGATTTTAGGCATGTTTTTAGAGCCTTAAATTGGTCATAAGGATTAACTGCGATGTCTTTAGTGTATTCAATCGACACTTTTTCGGAAGCGGTTAATATCTCTTTGCTTGGAGAAGGCAGGAGTTTCTCAGGTTGTAATATTTCGAACATACTACTCAGGTCGCAGGCTCTGAAATCTTTGTTTAGTTTTAGAAATTAATATACGTAAACAGCAATAATATAGATTGACTTTGAAATAGGATTCCGGGTCTGAAATTCTCTCATCTTGTGATAACTCACTTTGAAGTTTGGGAAGTTTAAAAAAAAAACTTGCACTACCGAGTCCACGCTGAGCAGACCTCTAGAGTGTGCTACGCCGTGTCCTCGACATCGCCGCACTCGTTGCATGAAAGGTCCGCCTCCCTCTGGATCCGGTGCAGATACTTTCCGAAGCATCCGTGCCTGGATAGTACCTGCACCAATCGAAAGGTAAGCGTCCCCCTCCCCCTGTCCACCCATTCCCTGATCAATATATGACCTGGATATCTGAACCTAGTTACAACCCCAATTGGCGAACCATACAGCCACACTGGTGGAACGTTTACCGGACCGAAAAACAACGACTTCAGTTTTAGCTATATTATATTTCAATCCATGTTCACCTGCATAGGACTCACATATTGAAAGCAGCTTTTGGAGTCCATTAATCGAGGTATTCGGATGAACCATATCGTCGGCGTAGCTCAGGTTGTTAACACATACGTTACCAACATGGCAGCCAACCCTGACTCCTCAGAGTCTCTCAATCAATCCATTGACATACAGATTAAAAATGTCCGGAGACGTCAATCCTCCTTGACAAACACCGCAGTCTAATCTAAACTTATTAGATGTCGCGCATCTTACAGTGTTAGTTTGGTTTTCGTACCAGTGTCTCAACAGGTTCACAACAGTGGGTGACATCGTGGTCTCTGTTAGTTTATGGCAAAGTAATAATTTATAATTAACAAGATCGAAAGCACGGCTCAGATCTAGAAAGCACGCATAGACTGTAGTTTCTCTTTTGTTATAATAACTGACAGTGTGCTTGAGCGGTAATATGGCAAAATCCATTGAGACACCCTTATGAAAACTAAACTGTGCGTTATTTAGTTCAATGTTGTTCACCAATTTATATTCCCTTTTTAAATAACATAAATCAATGTCAGGGGTAGACATGACGATTAAATGACCTGCATCTGGTTTCATATACAAATTTTCTGTGTGCTACACAGAGTCACAATGTGATCAGAATCTAAAAAAAAACTTGTTTGACTATACCCTCCCTACATAAAATATGTTAAAACAAAGTAATTGAAACAATTAAGTACGCACACACAATAATTATATATTGAAAAAATTATTTTGACTATTATGAGTTAGAGAAAAAGTAAATAAATAATCTTCTAGGTACTACATATAATGATTTATTCATGATGATTTACTTTCTGTACCAAATCTGGATTGTTTTCATTCTCTTCACTTTTTTCTGAAGCTGTAGAACACCATAAAGTAGAGCTTCTGCTGTTGGGGGGCACCCAGGAACATATATGTCTACAGGCACTATTCGATCACAACCCCTGAAATATAATAATATTAATTGTTCATTGAAGGCAGTGAAACAATAGAATTAGTAATTTTGAGCTTGTTAAAAAGCAATTACAAACAGAAATGACATAAATAATTGATGGTTGGTGCTTACCTTACAACTGAGTAAGAATAATGATAATATCCACCACCATTAGCACAACTACCCATAGATATAACCCATCGGGGATCTGGCATTTGATCATACACTTTCCGGAGAGCTGGAGCCATCTTATTAGTTAAGGTGCCAGCTACTATCATGACATCTGACTGGCGAGGAGATGCTCGAAAAACTACACCATACCTAAAATAAGTTGGTATTTAATACTCAAAACAGTTTAAAACCAATAATATACACAATATAAATGATTTTGTAGAAAACTTAATTTTTAAGAAATATTGTATATATTGACCAATTACATAAACTAAGTACAAAATAAATGTTCAAATTATTTTTCTTCAAGATACCTATCCATATCATATCTAGGAGCAGCAAAGTGCATCATTTCTACAGCACAACATGCTAAACCAAATGTCATTGGCCACATAGATCCTTTTCTTCCCCAATTCAATAAATCATCGAGACGTGCTACAGCATATTCTGCCATATTAGAAGTATCTTGGAAAGGAGAGTATGGGCGCTTTTCTGTTGGGCTTGGTGCAGGAAGGTGTGTCTGACGGATCTGATCTACGATTGGTGCAAATGCACCCTTTTTTACAATCGAAAGAACGGTGCTGGGAGCAGAAGCTCCCAATGCCTTGATAGCCAACATTTTAACCTGTAAAATGAAAATAATCCTGCGTAAATAAACACATACTGAAAACTCTTAAAATGCACTTTAACTGCACAGTATAATACTCACGAATTCAAAACATTAAATACCTACTTAAATAACAGACGGTATCAACACTTTTTCCTACAATAATATAAATTATACTAAATTTACGTAATTTACTTCATGTAGAGTTTATAGGGACATCAATAAAAAAAAACAGTGTGTTCATCAATGACAATCAATTCCATATATTAGTATCATTTCTTGATAAAATGACGCTAAATAAATAATTTATGAAGTAAAAAAATTCAAAAACAAAATAAAGTTAATTGCACCTAAAAGATTTTAATTAAAAATTTAAAGGAAATATTAATGTACCAGTCGTAATAGAATTACCAATCCACCTTCGTAAACCTAGAGAAAACTGACATCCGTAGTTCAGCTGTCAAATTTCTCTAAATGATTTTGAACCTTATGTTGAAAAGGCGGGAAACGTTGAAGTAGGGGGGCGCGTTTTTACCTTTTGAAATTAATTTTATTAAAAATTATTAGTTTTTCAACCAGTTGAGTAGCGTAATTATATTTAATTGTATATTTATATTTGTGTAGTGTATTTTTAGTAACTTCATCGCCTGGTAAGTCGTTTAAATAATTTTTACAATGAACGAACCCCCTGACCCAGGGGGTTCCACTTCTAATACAGGACAATTTGCGGTTCCCTCTGTCGCTTATAATGTTACTGTTATGAGTCAAGGTGAATCTAGTGTAGATACTGACCAAACAGTCAATACTATTGTAGATTGGTCTGCTCCGCCGACTAGGAAAAGGAGTAAATCTGTTAAAATATGTAAAAATTGTAATAAGAAAAAGCGGAAAAACAAAATGGCGGGAAAGAATGTAGGATGTCTTTGTGAATCTGAAAGTTCTATCGAATCTGCAATTACTGATAATAAACAAACGACCCCTCATACTGCACCCCCATTAAACGCGAATAGCATTTTAAATCAGCCTCAACTTGAAGTGAGTAGTCCTGTGAATAGTCGTAAATTTTATGCCAAAAATGATTTTCCTCCTTTCATTGTGCATGTCCAGCGTGAGCAGACAGCTTTTAATGACTCTTCCACCCTACACCCCGTGAATTTTGGATATTTTCTTAAAAAAAATAACTTTCAATCCATAGTAGATGGCAGTGTTAAAAAAATTGGGAGAAACCGAATTGTCCTAGCTTTTAATAAATTTGAAGCTGCTAATCATTTCTTATGTGATACAAGATAACATGATAATAATTATAAAGCTTTTGTTCCTTCTTTCAACATAACCCGAATGGGTCTTGTGCGTGGAGTTCCACAAGATTGGACTCCTGAAGAAATAAAAGAAAAAATCACTCTTCCTGTAGGCTGCGGGGAGATAATCAAAATAAGACGTATTAATCATAAAGTTTTTATTGATAATACTGTAACATGGAAACCTCCCCAGTCAGTAGTTATTACCTTTGATGGCCAAGTACTTCCTTCACGTGTATTTTTATGTTATAATGCATTAGTTGTAGACCGCTATATATATCCAACAGTCCAATGTTTTAACTGCTGTCGTTTTGGGCACACTAAACTGCAGTGCAGGTCTAAACCTCGCTGCTTTAAGTGTGGCCAGGATCATACTGGTGATACATGTTCAGTTGAGGAAGATGCACATTGTTGTAATTGTTCTGGTTCCCACTTTGCTAATAAACGAATTTGTCCTGAATATGAAAGACAAAGGCGTATAAAAGTGACTATGGCAAATGATAATACTTCTTATTTTGAGGCAGCAAAATTACATCCTTCTGTAAATAAATCTTATTCTGAAGTACTAACATCCCAGCCAACTAAGGCATCCTCTAATTTTAAAACTACACCAATTAATAATGCAACTCAACATAACAATTCTTATAAAAAACCGTCTTCATGAAACCTAAATTTCGTTCACCTACTTTTCATATGGGGTTTAATCAAGCAGAACATATGAATATGATCAAAGATTATGATATGCCCAACAATAGTGGTAATGGTACTGCTATTGAACATGAATTTAACAGGAATTCAAATTTGACAATTACAGATGTAATTGACCCTCTAATAAATTTTTTAACTCAATTTAATAATTATGAACCGTCCCATGTTGCTCCTTTACTAGATCTTATTAATAAAATTACAAACCCAAATCATGGCTCAATTGACCAAAATAATTCAATGGAATTGCCGCATCATCAATAACAAGAAAACTGATCTTATTTACTTAATAAATACATACAATCCATTTATTATAACACTTTCAGAAACCTGGTTAAAATTAGGATTTTATTTCAAAATACCAGGATATTATTGATTAAGACAAGATAGAGCAGATGGCCATGGGGGCGTTGCTCTATTGATAAAGGATTTTTACCAATATAGACTTTTTTCATTACCTGCACCTTGTAGCGAATACTCTGCCATTGCTGCAATTGTCAATAATATCTGTTTTATGTCAATATATGTACCTCACCCAACTACATCTATTTTGATTGAAATCAATAACCTTCTATCTCAACTTCCAAAACCATTTATAGTGCTTGGTGATTTCAACTGTCATCACCAGTCTTGGGGCAGTTCAATTACAAATAATGTAGGAGAGCAACTGATGGACATATTGGACAAAAACAATTTGTGTTTACTTAACACTGGTATTCCTACCCGTCTTACTAGCCCTACAGATTTTATTAGTGCTGTTGACCTCTCAATTTGTACACCTAGCCTTGCATCATCCTTACTCTGGCATCCTCTCACCTCATCTTTTGGAAGTGATCATTTTCCAATAATAATAACCTTTCCATTTGCAAATAAAAAATCTGTTAAGATAAAAACATTTCATAAATATAAACTTCATAATGTAAATTTTTCTGTATACAAAAACCAAGTGGAAGAAAAATTTTCAACACTACCTATCTTGGAAAATGGTAATGAAGATGAATGCTCTACAGCTTTGGCTAGATGTATGATTGAAGTTGCTGATAGCTTATTTCCTATTAAAAAATCTAGTAGTAATTTAATACCCTTCCCACCCTGGTGGGACAGAGATTGTACTTTGGAGATTTCCCGGAGAAAGAAAGCTGAGCGCCAATATTGCGAAAATATGACCACGGAAAACTTTGCAGTTCTATTAAGGGTTACATCCGAAGTAAAAAAAGCATTAAAGAGGAAAAAGTCTGAATCCTGGAAAAATTTTTGTGCTTCAGTTTGTCCTCAAACCCATCCATCTATAGTTTGGCGTAACATACGTAGATTTCGCTCGGCTTTTGCTGAACCATCTATCTGTAGTCTATCTTTAGATTTAGCCGAAAAGTTCATGGATAACTTAGTTCCATCATCAGTAAAAGAGTTATTAATACTTTCACCGTATCAAAATAATTCCGGTTTAAATTCTCCATTTTCTATGCATGAGCTAAAAGGAATCCTTGCTAATCTTAAAGACTCTTGTCCTGGTAAAGACAATATTCCGTATTCTTTTATAGCCAATCTTAGTGATAATACGCATAATACGCTAAAATATTATTTACAAATTATAAATTCTGTCATGTTGACAGGTAATATTCCTCCATCATGGAGACAACAAACAGTATTGCCATTACTAAATCCGAATAAATCGCCTGCCGATGTATCATCTTACCGTCCGATTATTCTTTCTACAGTACTAGTTAAAATAGCTGAACACCTATTGAAAAATAGATTAGAGTGGTTAGTTGAGAGCAAGAACCTTTTTTCGAATAGCCAATACGGTTTTAGGAGGAACAGGAGCACATCGGACTGTATTGGAATTTTAACGTCAGATATCCGGATAGCGTTTTCCGATAATGAATCAGTTGGGGCGGTCTTTCTCGACATAAAGTCAGCGTACGATAATGTTAATTTATCGATTTTACGTGATAAATTAATTGATTTACAAATAAATCCCTTTAATGCTTACCAATTTTATTATAAATCTGTTTTCTGAGAGATATTTAATACTTCATATAGATGATACAACAATTGAAAGAACAGCGATAAAAGGCTTACCACAAGGGTCAGTCATCAGTCCGTTGCTTTACAATGTATATACCCATGATCTTGAAGATTCCTTAGAAAGCTCTTGCTCGGTTATTCAATATGCCGATGATGTAGTTTTATACTGTAATAATAAGTGTGTAAATAACATAAACAATGATATAAATTATTCACTATCGTTATTTAAAAAATGGTTAGTTAGAAACGGCCTAGAGTTGTCTGTTTCTAAGACAATTTTAGTGCTTTTTTCCAGGATGAGAAACCCGCCTGACTTAAATGTATACTTTGGTGAAACCTGTCTGTTGCAGAGGCAAGAAGTAATGTATTTAGGTATCATTCTTGATACTAAGCTCACCGGGAATTCTCATTGTGAATATATATCAGCAAAATGCGAACGTAATATTAATATTTTAAGATGTCTTGCTGGCGTTTGGTGGGGTAGCCATCCAACTTCGTTAAGATTGCTTTACATTGCCCTTGTAAGAAGCATATTATTAGATTATGGAACTTTTTTGTTGGAGCCAGGCAATGCTAGCGCCTTTCGGAAATTGGATGGTATTCAGTCAAAAGCCTTACGAATAATTTCTGGTGCCATGAGGTCTAGTCCTATATGCGCGTTACAGGTTGAATGCAATGATCCTCCATTACACCTTCGTAGACAGTATTTAGCCGACAGATATTTTTATAAGGCCGTTCAATTGACGAACAACCCCGTTATTGAAAAATTGAGAATTTTGTCAGAAAAGGTAATTACAACTAGTTATTGGTCTCATAAGAGACTTCCACCACTTGTTAAAACCTTTAATAGATATAAAGCTGAAGACATTTATGTTCATCACTTCCATATTCCTCCTATCTTTAACACAGATTATGATGCTTTATCTATTAACCCTAATATAATTTATAACCTCCACATCGACGATAAGGCTAATGCAAATGTCTACTTTAATGCTATAGTAAGTGAGACCTGGTACCAGTGGCACAAAATATTCACTGATGCGTCTAAAACCGCACAGCAGGACGTTGGAGTTGGAATCTTCCACAGCAACTACAAGATTCAACAAAAAATACGTCTGCCTCCACAGACTTCAGTTTTTACCGCCGAGTGCCTCGGTATCTACAAAGCAGTAGAATATATAAGACTGGCTAAACTAAAGCAAATAATTATTTTTACTGACTCTTTAAGCTCATTATATGCGCTAGCAAAATTCCCTTTTAGATCAAAAAATTATCCATTAATCTTAAAGACAAGGGAGTTGCTTTATTTAAGCATATTAAAAGGATATTCGGTTTCTTTTGCTTGGGTACCTAGCCATTGTGGCATAATTGGTAACGAATATGCCGATTATCTCGCTCGAGACGCAGTAAAATGTGGTGATCTTTATTATTATAAGAACTATTCTCATGATTTAATTAATATGTCACAAACAACATTACAAGATTCATGGTCCAGGTTATGGGTGGAGAGTAATTAATCAAAAGCTATGTACTATCGCTCATTACAACCAACTTTACTTACTAAACCTTGGTTTTTCAAATTAAGGTTTAGTAAATCAGTTACTACAATTTTAATCCGAATGCGCCTCGGACATGTTTGTACTCCTGATCGTTTGGCAAAATATGGTATAATAGATACGTCCACATGTAAATGTGGCGAGGTTGATGCTGACGTTAACCATATTTTCTTTTCTTGCCCCAGATATGACAGAACCGCCTTTTTAGATTCATTGAAGACAGCAAATATTCCTTTTCCTACGTCCATTCCCTCCCTTCTATATAATATTAATCCTGATATATACATATGTTTATCCAAGTTTATCAAATTTAGTTTATCTATATATTTATATTTTTACTATAGTTCCATTATTTACTTATAATTCCCTACCTACTCAACTGTTGTTCCTTTTTCTTGTTTATCGCAAATCTCCCTTTTTTTTCTTGTTCATATCGTTTCCTTATTTTTTCCCATCTGCAACTACCACATATCCAAGTACCAACTATCCATATTCCGCTCCTTTAATCGATCAAGTTTAATCGATTTGCTACCCAATTAGAACAGATGAAACTTGTATATGGCAATTGGCAACATTAGCCGTCATGCCATAATAAAAGAAGAAGAAGAACCTTATGTCACTCATTTTATGATTCTCAATCTCTTTAAGACAAGTTTTCATATTGTGGTAATTTGATGCCGTAGGGTACGGGTACGGCCAGAGTGCACTCAGATTCAGATTCAGATTCTGAAAACAAGCGCGAGAAATAAACAGTGTAGTCGAAGGGTACGGCCAGAGTGCACTCAGATTCACATTCAGATTCAGATTTCGAAAACAAGCCCGAGAAATAAACAGTGTAGTCGAAGGGTACGGCCAGAGTGCACTCCTGATTTAGATTCAGATTCAGACTTAGAAAATAAGCGCGAGAAAAAGCAGGCAACCTGCTTAGGGTGCGGCCAGAGTGCACTCAGATTAGTGTAGTCTAAGCAGGTTGCCTGCTTTTTCTCGCGCTTTGTTTTCTGAGTCTGAATCTGAATCAGGAGTGCACTCTGGCTGTACCCTTCGACTACACTGTTTATTTCTCGCGCTTGTTTTCGGAATCTGAATCTGAGTGCACTCTGGCCGCACCCTGTTTTCTGAGTCTGAATCTGAATCTGCGTGCACTCTGGCCGTACCCTTCCACTATGGTTCCACTCTTAGAGTATTTACGACTGGAGAGGGCATGGACGGGCGAACCCCTCCGCCAAAACACTTATATAAAACTAGTTCACGCGCGACCGCTACCATTTTGGATCGTTCCGCAGCGTGAGTCGGAGCTCCCACAAAAATGGAAAATTATGTTGTTTCCCACGCAAAAACCGATCTGCCACTTCAATCTTGCTGAAACATGGTGTTTCCTATCATATACAAATATTTTTAAGTTTTAAAAAGTTAGTATTCTGGTATAAAATTCAATCATAAGGTAAGGCGCGAAATCACGAATGAATGACAAAAATAATAGGTAGAAATTCATAGAGATGTGACGAAAAATGAATGACTGCTATGGTATCTGTTCTGGCATGCATTTCTCTTAACTAAATTTAACATTAATCAGTTTTTTTTTTTTTATTTTATTCGGTAATAGGTAAGCGCTTGACCATAATTCGCCTGATGGAAAGCAATATTATGGTCTACGATGGAGCGCGCTTACCTAATAAAAACCGGTTCACTCTTGCTTTGAAGACCGCTAGATTGTAGTGCTCGGGGAACAAGGGCTCAGGCAAGGAATTCCACAGTTTGGCAGTCCGCACGATGAAGCTAGACGCGAATCGCTTAGTGTGAGTCTTTGGAACTGCCACCGTGAATCGATGTCGCCTTGCCGTTTCCCTGCTCGTCCGGTAGTAGAAAGGGGCGGGAGGAATTAGCTCATGTAATTCCTCTGCGCACTCACCGAAATGCAACCGATAGAACACCGAAAGACTGGCAACTTTGCGTCGGTGTTCCAGGCTTTGTAACTTTGCCCGGCAAAGCGCATCATTTCCAATGAGCTTTATCGCTCGTTTCTCAATTGCCTCCAACGCCTCAAGTTGGTACTTAGCCGATCCATCCCAGAGGTGCGAACAATACTCCATGCACGACCGAACTTGTGCTTGATATAATGTAAGCAACTGTTCCAGCTTGAAGTATCGTCGCACCTTCGAGAGGATACCCAACTTCTTGGCTGCTAATTGGGCCTTGGACTCAATGTGTGAGCCAAAGTTGAGGGTTGGTGACAATGTAATACCGAGTAGCTCGAGATGGTCGCTGATCGGTACGGTTACATCCCGGAAAGTAGGGGCCAGATCAAATGGCCTCTTTTTTGCGGTGAAAAGGCACGCCTGGGTTTTCGCAGCATTGAACCCAACTAAATTGGAATCGCCCCAATCGGAGACCGCCAAAAGAGAAAGGTTCAAGCGCTCGACCATGGCCTCCCTATGGGACTGGATTTCTGTCGCGCTGGCTCGCGCGGTGGATATATAGCTCTCTACAACTGTGCTGTCGTCTGCATACCCAAAGATACCGGGTCTTAGCAGATCGTTAATGTGCAGCAGAAACAGCGTTGCAGAGAGTACCGACCCCTGGGGGACACCGGCATTGATAGCCCAAAGATCCGAGGAGCAACCATCCACTACAACTCGAATAGACCTATCCCTCAGAAAGTCTGAAATCCATGCACAAAGCCCAGTAGGCAGGCCGTATGAGGATAACTTGCTAATAAGACCGTCGTGCCAGACCCTGTCGAAGGCTTTGGAAATATCGAGAGAAACTGCTAGAGCTTCCCCGTACTTCGAACACTGTTTTTCATTCTGTATAAAGAAAGACAAGAATACATTGTTGTCAAAAATTTAAGCTTTAGAGAATTATGCCGGAATTGACACCAAAATTAACTTACTATTTTTTATTTTGTTTGTTTGTTTATTGGCAATACATTGATGTAAACAGCGTATAGGTAGAAGAAAGTAAATCAAATTAAGTAGTTACTTATCAGGTCAGCTGCCCACATCGAGCGACTT